CTATTTAGTATTTCCCCCCCGACCCCTCCCATCCCTGGTAACCAACAAAGATTTGGATCATGCTTTTTTATCCAATCTGCCACTCTCCGTCTCTTTATTGGTGCATTAAGTCCGTTTACATTCAGCGTAATTATTAATAGGTATGAGTTTAGTGCCGTCATCCTGATATCTCTTTTTGTGTGTTGATCACAGTTTCTTTGTCCTCCTCAATTTTCTGTGCTGAGTCATTTTTCTTTAGGTATTTTTTTTTTTTTCATCTTTTTCTTTGTTGTAGATTTTGTGTTTGCTGGGTCTTTATGTTTTTCTACTTTTTTATTTTGATTTGTAGGATTCCTTTGTGGTTACCTTAATATTTACCCCTATTTTTCTACGTTTATACCAGTCTTTTTTTACCTTATATTGCCTTAACTTCCCCTCCATATGAAAAATCAATGTCTCCATTTTTTAAATCCCTCTTTTTTGTTTTAATGTTGTCCTTTTTCACATATTGATATCTGTTTCCCTATTTTCAATGTTTTAGCTTTTATGTATTTTCAATATCCATATCTGAGTCAATATCTGGTTGCTCTGTCCTGTGTTCTAGTCTTGCGTTGTTATCTGGTGTAATTGATTATCTAACCGTAGGACTCTCAAAATGGGATATTTCTTATGGAAAGAGACGTATGCCTGGAAGGTGGCGTCAAAAGGCCAGTGGTCAGAAACAAGAGTCAGACAGAATCATTCCCGTGGAGTAAAACTGAGTCCTTATCAAGGAATCTGCAACAGGAGCTCAGCTACGAACCAAGGACTGTCATGACCTTCCTGTTTTTTTCCGTTTTGAACGAAAATGACTATGGCTGTTAACTGAGCCCTGCCTCACCATTGTTTGTGGGTATATGTGTGTGGTTGGGGCATGGAGATATCTTTTCAATGTAGTTGACAGATCTCTGAGTTGACAAGAGCTGCACCTAAGCAGATGCACCTAAGGAACTGCACTTGAACCTGATTTAATGAGAAGATCCTGTGCTTGAAGCCTGAGCCTGATGTCTTAGTAGATGAGACTTTGGGGGTCTTTAGAACATGAGCGTATGTTGCATGTGGGAAGAATGTGATCATTAGAATGAAGATGTTAGATCTGGGTACTGTTACTTTGGTAAAACCATTGCTGTTGGGTCATTTCCTACTCAGGACAACCCTATGTGTTTCCAGGTAGAACTGCATTCCATAGGGTTTTCAATAGCTCTGATCTTTTGGAAGTAGATCATGGGGACTTTCTTGTGAGGTGTCTCTGAATAGCCCCCGATAAACCCTGCATCCCAATATTCATACAACCACACATTCCCCTGCCATGCTAACTCTGGGCTTGGCAAACAGAACATTAGCTAGCATGATGCAAGCAGATGCTTGATAAGTACTTGTATACTGGAGCTTGTATTTTTGGAATCCTCACTCTTGGGATTGGGACCCTAAAGATAGAGCCAGAGAGCTAGGGAGGGAGAAGTGAAGGAAGGAGAAGAGAGAGAGAGATATTGATTGATTCCAACCTCCTTGCCATTCCTGCCAAGGCTGCAGACATATAAATGAAGTTATCTTGGAAATTTCAGACCCAGCTGCCATCTGACTGCAATTACATGAGATCTACATGAGATCCAGTCACTACAATGTGAAGAAGAAGAAATTCCCAGCCAAGCCTGGCTTCAATTCATGGCCCACAGAACCAGAAGCAAATAAGACGGTTGTTCTTTTGAGTTACTGTAATGGGGTTGTTTGTTATGCAGCAAAAAGTTACAAAAATAATAACCATCTTATCTGCAAATAGAGATATGTAATTTCCAGTTCATACCATCTAATTATCTTCCCTCTCTGGTTCTCACAAATTTAGGCCTTTGATGTTTTCAGACTCTCTAAGTTTTGGGTTATTTTAGTAAATATTTCTCTAAAACTGTCATTTCTGAAATATAAGCCTCAAGCCATTTATATTTTATTAAAAGATAAATAATGAATAGAAGGCATACCTGTACATCAATGTACTTCAGGTTTTTGCAGTTACCCAGGCTTTGCAAAGAAGTTAATCCACAGCGTTGAAGAGACAGAAACTGAAGATTTGTACACTCTGCCAGTGTAGAGAGACTACAACCTGGCAAATCTTGAAAAGTAACTGTTGTAACCTAGACAAATTCAAGAGAATTGGAATGCACAACATTATTTCACAATACTGAATATAACCTATATTAGCCTTGCAAAATTGTTTTAAAAAATTCATTTAAGAAAAATTATACTATACGTTAAAATCCACATTTATTAACAACTTAATTTCAGTTAAGCTATCTGGACCCTTTTGTTTCTCACATAGAAAGGCAAAATAATATAATTACCGATGACCAACTCAAATTCAAAACTAAAATGCACAGAAGCAATAATATAGTCATTTATTAGCTCACTCCCTAATTTTTCATCAAATTCACTTTCCTTATTTATCATGCCTTTGGCACATAAACTACGCTTATCTTTGAAATTATGCTACATAAATGTTTATGATCTGTGTTTGACAGTTTGCTAGGGATCCCTGAATAGTCCTAGAAGCCACAACAGGTCAGAGGATAGATTTTGAGTTCAACCTATCATGCTTCAACTAGAATAGCTCAGCTATATTAAAAAAGAAAATGAGAAAAAGAAAGTTTGCTTGAGAAGAGATATTATAGAAACTATAATAAATAGAACTATGTAAAAATAAACATGGATGTACAATTTTGCAAGTGCAATCTACCCACTTCTCATTTATTAGCATGTTTAGGTTCCAAAGACCAGGTCATTATACAAAATTTAGTGTTATACAAAAACGGACAATGACTACATCATTACATAACTGCCAAATTATTTCATAACTGCCAAATTGCATCATTACATAACTGCCAAATCACTGAGAATCACTGCCCAGTCAAGGTGACACATAAACTTTACCCTCACAGCCAGCATTACTCTTGCCTCACAACCTGGTATTTGTTACTGCCAGACGTATGTCATTAATGTGCAAAACAGTTGGATAGTAGATTTTTCACTGTTGTCATAAATGTGTCCTTTTGGGATAAACGAGATAGCCCAGTAAGTGAGGAGTAGGTGTATAAACAACAGTCTATCACAAGTCTTATGTATTACAAAGGCATGCATCATGATTTACTAGTGAATAATCTGATTTTACCCAGAGCATACAGAATTTGTGGCATAGAAAACTACCAATAGTATTTCTTCCTGTATTTTTCAAGCTATATATATATATATATATATAGCTAAGTAGCCAAGCATTGTGCCACCAGAGCTCCATGAATATATGCTGGAGCCCTGGTGGCATAGTGGTTAAGAATTCAGCTGCTAACCAAAAGGTCAGCAGTTTAAATCCACCAGCTGCTCCTTGGAAACCCTATGGGGCAGTTCTACTCCGTGATATAGGGTTACTGTGAATCAGAATCGACTAGATGGCAACGGGTTTTTTGTTATATATGTGTGTGTATATATATATAAAACTAGACCATGTCCTTCACAGGTATTATTTTAAAATTAACAATCCTACAACGTAGGTATTGCTCTTCTCAGTTTATGTATGACAAAACTGTGGCTCAGAAAGGTCAGTCACCCTTTTGTAAAGGTGACACAGCTAGTAAATGGCAGAAATAAAATTAGAATCTTCCACGTTTAGGCTTACAGGGCCCTTGAACACAGGCTTCGAGATAATATAAGAAGATAAATCAAAGCTATTTATAGAGAAAATGTCCAGAATAATTTCGATTGGGAAGATCTTTTAAATGAATTCTTTCTCAAATGGGGTTAGCAACTTAATTAAGAGGCAGAATTACTGGATATAAATATGCCTTCTATTAAGAACTGATAAATTACATTTTAGGGAATCAATTGCAACTAAATACGAAAACATTATTTAAAAATAAGAAATACCTGCTGTAATGTATTCCAAGGGCCACACTGAAGAATTTCTAGTGTATTCAAAGGGGGTAAGGTATTGGCTGGACATTTCACAGATCTTTTTCTTTTAACAACGTTCTTTTGTTGATGTTTCTTGAAAATTTCAAACCAGGGTTTAAATGATTTTATCCAAGCTAGCCTCTTTTCTTCAATAGAAGACAGAAGGGTCGGCTCTGGTATAGAGCAGGTCACGCTACCTTCAAGTTCAGATCTATTCTCATGGCAATCTTCTGGAATTTCTTTAATCTCAGATTTAACAGAGTTTGTTTCTTTAGAAACCAAGGAGCTTTTTGCATTACAGCCACTTGAGTTTTCACAAAGAGCTTTTCTGTCTAAAATATAATGGTGCTTGTTTATTGTGCTTTCTATATTAATTATGGTGTCACTGGTGTTAAAAATCACAATGTCACTATTCAAAGCATTGCCTTTTGAATTCTCCTCAATTTTATTAGATTTTAAATTGATTTCTTCCTCTTGTAGTACTACACCTTTTCCTACATTTTCAGAATTTTCTAATTCTAGTAGTAGTAGTTTTTGTTCCATTGAAATCATTGAAATATTACTCTCTTCATGTAATGTTCCATTCTGTTCTGGTATCTTTTCTTCTTCTACTTCTTTTACCTTTTTCTGTTGGTTATCTTTGATTATTTTCTGTGCTTCATTGTTTTTGGCCTCATTAATGTCTTGATTATTTTCTAGTATTATTATTTGTGTTTCTTGTTCCACGTTCTCATCTATGGCATGTTTCAGTTTTCCCTCTTTTTGTATTTGAGATTTTAATTCTTGTAGCTTAAACTGTTCTTTCACATTTTCTTTTAGATCTGAGCTTTCCAATTCAAGTTGTTTGTCTATATTTTCATATTTTCTTTTTAGATTGATCAATTTTTCTGAATATTGTTGTTTTGTTAGATTTTCATTTTTTTCTTCCTCTTTTAATTCTACCAAAATTGGTTGGTTTGATATATACTCTTTTAATTGTTCTTGTACTGGTTCTTTCAATACCAGCTGTCTACCTACACTTTCCCTCGTATTTGATTTCTCATCTATTACTAGCCAGAGGGGAATATCTTCCTGATTCTTTGATTTCTCATCCACTAGCTTTTTGGCTATATCATTCTTATTCTTTGATGCATCTTCAATAGTTAAATGTTCAGTGTTATGTTCTCCCTTCTTTAATGTCTCACTTGTTAGCTGTTTGCTTGCATCTTCTCTGCTTCTTACTTTTTCTCTTTCTAGTCTCAGAATGTTCTTTTTTTCTTCATATTCTTTCTGACTCTTTTTAAGTTCCTCTTGCTTTTGCATTTTTTTCTCTTCTTCTATCCTTTGTTCCTCTTCTAGCCTTATTCGTTTTTCTTCTTCCCTCTGTCGGATTTTTGCTTCCTTTTCCTTCCACTCTTGTTCTTTCTTTTTCTTATTTTCTACCAATTCTTTTATGATTGGGTTATATTTTTGGTAAGATACAAATGCTTTATAATTAGCTTGGATTTTTTTGGCTGCATTATGCTGCAGTTTTAACAAACGCATTTTTTCTTTCTCCTGTATGTCTTTAAATCTTGTTCTTTCCTGTTCCATTTGTAAATGCAAGTTTTTAATAAACTCCTAAAATAAAGTAATGTAAGTAATAATAAGCATACAATTAAATATGCAATGCTATTACAGTATTATCTAAAATAGCAATTGAAAATACCAAAACTAAATTCTCATAATGAAGTTACAATAAAATTCACTTTGAATAACTGAAATCATTTAATTTTAATAGTATCAATTTTTGAAATATTTAGGAGATTGGCTTAATAGTTGAGCTAATACTCCAATATAGCAATAAAGATTATATATATGTACATATATGTGTAAGATATAGATTGAGAAATTCCTTAAAAATAGCATATAAAATCTGAATGACATAGAAAGCAGGCAAGGGAAACCATTGGCCAGAATTCACATAGGAGAAAATGACTTCAAACCTTTCTGAGATGTGAGTTCTTAACAAAGCAGACTCCCAGAGCTGGCACCGGGACTGCAGAAGCAGGGAATTATTTTGTGATAGGATGATACAAATAAGGCCAGGGAGTCCACACATACAAACAGTATGCAGAACCAGACTAGCTATACTTCTTACCCTTCCTCAATTATCAAAGTCAGGATCCATAAGCATATACTATATTACCGAATTAGATAACTTGGAGTTAGGTGAGAAAATATCATTATTACTAAAGTTCTAAAACAAAAGTAAACAGACCAACAAAATTCAGCAAATATTTGAGGCATTGTGGAAGATTTTATATACTTTATTCTTGCAACACTTAAAATAATTTCAAATAAAAACTGTGAATAAAAGCAAAAAATAAATATATCACCAGAATCATCTTAAATTCAAAGGAGTTATTTAACACAGTCCATTAATTGTCATCAAGAAATGAAGTATCCTTTCATAACAATATTCAACCATAATGAAACGTTCAAAAGTATCTTTCTTCAACCCTTAAAAAGAAATTTTAGAATTACAATTTTATAAGAACATGTTCACTCACTGGGCCAGTTTATTTTCATTTACAGGATATTATACTTCAAAGAAAGTTTCTGACTATTAGTAAGCTTTTAAAGCTTTGCTAATTAAATCCCATATCTGCTAATTAGATTAAAATTCCCATTTCAAGGATAGTAATTTATTTGAAATGAAAAATGATTATTGCACTGATTAAAAAGAACAGAACAAATAGGTACCTCGTGCTGTTTAAATTTCTCCTCCCACATTTTTTCTTCTTTCTGTAGTTCATCATTCATCTTGTCTTGCTCTTGCTAAACAAGTGATGATATTTAAATGTTATTATATTCAAATATAAAAGAATATTAAGTTCATGATATATGATTCTTGCAACATATATTTGTAAAAAAATGTTTAAAGATGACAATCTACCCAGGGATTCTTAGTTATTAGTACTGGGACAACAACTTTAATCTCAACCTAAAGTGTGATATATAATAACTAGGGTTCCTACTGTGAGCACATAAAAATATTGTTTGGAATCTGGAAAAACTGTTTTATTTATATGAATACATTTACATAATAAAATGCATTGGCTAAAAATAGTGTTGGGTACTGCAAAAGTTTCAAATAGTAATGTTTATAAAATCGGTTTTGCCTACATGTTGTTTTCTTTACACATCCTTCTATTTAACTGGCATGATAAACCAGTTGAGTGGATAATGGTTTCCTTTCAATAACTGTTAGCATCTCTATTAAGGCTCTTCAGAATAAACAGATTTGCAAAATACAGTCCCTTTCTCCCAAAATTTTAAATTTAATATGGGAACTCTATTATAAGTTCACAAATTACTCCAAATTTTACAGAGTAAGTTTACTACAATAAAAGAGCTATAAAGGATCACAGTGAGAACAGGTGTTACAATTAGAGGATCATAAAAGGTTTCGTGTCAAAGATTATACGTGAAATAACTAGGATTTCAAGAGGTGAAGAAGACATTTTGGCATTTACTAAAAGTTTTTGAACTAGTAAAATTATTAGAGCTCTGTTTTCAGAAAAATCATAGTTTTAGGCTGGATAGAAATAGGGAGAGAGCCACTGACTGGGATCATAACAGTGGTTCTGTACAGAGCTGGAGAAACATGTAGAACAAAATTCTAACTCACAAAAAAAGACCAGATTCACTGACCTGACAGAGACGGGAGAAACCCCAAGAGTATGGCCCCCTGACACCCTTTTAGCTCAGTAATGAAGTCACTTCTGAGGTTCACCATTCAGCCAAAGATTAGACAGCCCCACGAAACAAAACAAGACTAATGGGGCACACAAGCCTGGGACAAAGACTAGAAGGCAGAAGGGGACAGGAAAGCTGGTGATAGGGAACCCAAGGTTGAGAAGGGACAGTGTTGTCATGTCGTGGGGATTGTTAACCATTGTCATAAAACAATATGTGTGCTGCTTAATGAGAAACTCTTTGTTCTGTAAACCTTCATCTAAAGTACAATAAAAATAAAATTTAATTAAAAAAAAAGAAATAGGGAAAGAGACAGAAAAGAGACCAGGGAGGAAATATTGGAGATGTTCATGTGAGAATAAATGAGGACCTTCCATAGAGTGGCAGCAGTGAGAATAGCTGCAAAGACAACATAAATGTGAAATTGCCACAAACTGCCAGTTGACAGTATACAAAGGAAGTGGGAAAAACTCTTTGGACATTATGAACTGTGGGACCTTTTGATGGGATTTAAGCTAAGAAAAAACATTTTTATAAATATCACTCTGACAGCACTATAGTGGATGAGTTTGAGGAATATAAGACCAAAGACAGAGAGATTAATTACAGTATAGTAAATACTCCATGCTAGAGAATAGAAGATTCTGAACTAACGAGTAGCAGTAGATAGATGGATAAGAAGATGGATAATATAGGTATTACAGAGGAGAGGGTAATAAGAGAGAGGGAAGAGTAAAAAATGACCCTCAATTTTTCTGGCTTGGTCAACTGATCAAAATAAAAAATACCAGAGGAGGAGCCCACTTCAGAAAGAAAGACATGCATTCAGTTTTGGGCACATTAAGTTCTGAGTGTAATGTATCGGTAGTAGAGCTACGTATTCCACTTTATTTTAAGTTATAAATTAAGGTTTGATTCTGATCAGCCATGGCTATGGCTGAGATTATACAGAGAGAAAGGCTATGGAATAAGAAAAGAAAGGGACAAAGGATGGAATCCTAGGTAGTAACACATTTAATGACAGAGAAAGAAAAGGAAGCTGTTATAGGTTTAATTGTGTCCTCCAAAAACATATGTTGAAGGTCTAACCTCTAGTACCGGTGAATGTGACCTTATTTAGAAATAGGATCTTTACAGATGCAATTAGTTAACATGAAGTCATACTAGAGTAGGGCTGGCTCTAATCCAATACGACTGATGTCCTTACAAAAAGAGGAGAGGAGATATAGAGACAGAGACATACACAGGGCAGAATGTGACAACAAAGGCAGCGATAGGAGTGATGCATCTGTAAGTGAAGGAGTGCCAAGGACTGCCAGCTGTCACCAGAAACTTGGAGAGCAGCATGGAACAGACTGACCCTCAGAGCTCTCAGAAGGAATAAACACTGACAATATTCTGAATTCAGAGTTCTAGCCTCTAGAACTGTGAGACAATGAATTTCTGTTGTTTTAGCCACCTAGTTGTGGAACTTTGCTATGGCAACCCTAGGAAACTAATACAGAAGCTTAAAATGGATATCAAGGAGGAGTTGCCAATCATTTAAGAAGATAGTCAAGATAATGTGATCCCTCGAAGGTCAAGAGAAAGGGGGAAATGGTCAATACTTAAGTTGTCACTGGCATAAAATACTGCAAAAGCCAAAACAGTAACTGAGAAAGAACCTAAAAGTATGATAAATGTTATGAACTGAATTGTGTCCCCAAAAAATATGCACTGTAAATCCTAACCCCTATGCATGTGGATGTAATCCCACTGAGAATAGGGTTTTCTTTTTATGTTAATGAGGCCATAAATGTGCAGGGTGTGTTTTAAACCAATCACTTTTGAGATATAAAATGAGCAGATCAGGTACAGAAGCAAGTAAGTAGGAATGGGGGAAAGAAAGATGCCACCTGGAGATCTCCAAGAACACTAGAAGAGTTGAGACAAGGATTTTCCCATAGAGTGGACAGAGAAAGCCTTTCCCTAGAGCTGGTGCCCTGAATTAGGATTTCTACCCTCCTAAACTGTGAGAAAATAAATTTCTGTTCATTAAAGCCACCCACTTGTGGTATTTCTGTTACAGCAGCACTAAGAAACTAAGACAGTAAATTGAGAAGTCATTTTTGTCAACAGCAGTTTCATTCAGTGAGGTGGTGGTGGTAGAATAGGTTTAGGATTGAATGGGAGATAAAGAAATGCATATAGCACAAATAACTACCTTTCACGAAGCTCTACTATGATAAGCAGATCTAAAGAGCAACTAAATGAGACATAGGAACACGGGTAGTCTTACAGTTTTTATGTTGCTTTGTTTTTAGTATGGGAGAAAACTGACCATGCTTATAAACAATAATAAAGGAGAAAACAGGAGCATTTCAATATATATGGAAATAGAGATAAATTGAAAGAGGTTAGATTATAAAGCAGAGGAAAAGAAGCTAACCTTTGGAAAAAAGAAGAATCTCTCTTACTGAGATGGAGGAAAGGCAAAAGAGGATGAGTGCAGATGTTCACACTAAATAGATACAGGATTAGAGAGAAGAGGAAGTCGGTATTAATGCAAAAAATGTCATGTGATCATTTGCTAAGAAAAGAGGAGGCAAGAGTTGGGTAGAGCATTGAAGGAGAGAGATTTCCAATAGCTGTTTGGGAAAATAGCAGAGGACGCCAATAAAGCGCACAGAAAAGAACTACTGAAAGGAACTAGATTATGCATTTCAGAATCCATCACTATAAAATTATGAAAAGTCCCACTAGAAAACTTTTAAGCCCAAGTCCATAATAAAGCATACACGTAGGAATTCATTAAACCTATGAACATCAGATACGTTTTCTGATAAATTACATAATTATATACATAATTTTCTGATATTTAAAAAAAAAAAAACAAGTTACAATTCTTTGAGGATGGGGCCCATGTGTTAGATTTCATTTGTATTACCATAGCACATGGCAGAGAGCCTTGCACTTGAGGTAGTCAGTAAAACTTGGTTAAAAAAATAGAAAGGGGGTGCTCGCTTCAGCAGCACATATACTAAAACTGGAATGACACAGAGAAGATTAGCATGCCCCTGTGCAAGGATGACACACAAATTTGTGAAGCGTTCTTCCACATTTTTATTCACTAACTAGACAGTAGACAAGAATCATCTTAGGTGAAGGGAAGGACAACACACAATACAGGGAAGTCAGCACAACTAGACCAAAGCAAAAGCTAAGAAGTTTGCTGAACATAACCAAACACTTTGAGAGAGAGAGTAGCTGGGGCTGGGGCCTGAGGACCATAGTTTCAGGGGACATCTAGGTCAATTGGCATAAAGAAGTTTATTAAGAAAATGTTCTGCATCCCGTTAGGTGTGTGATGTCTAGGGTCTTAAAATCTTGTGAGCGGCCATCTAAGATGTATCAATTGGTCCTAATCCACTTGGGGCAAAGGAGAATGAAGAACACCGAAGACACAAGGGAAATATTAGCCCAAGACACTAAAGGTCCACATAAACCAGGCTCCATCAGCCTGAGACCAGAACTAGATGCTGCCTGCCTACCACCAATGGCCACCCTGACAAGGAACACAGCAGACAGTCCCAGAGAGAGTGGGACAAAAGCGTGGAGCAGAACTCAAATCTACGTAAAAAAGACCAGACTTAACGGTCTGACAGAGACCGAAGGAACCCCCGGAATTATGGCCCCCAGACGCTCTGTTAACCCAGAACCAAAATCATTCCCAAAGCCCACTCTTCAGACAAAGATTAGACTGGACCATAAAACATAAATACTCGTGAAGAGTATGCTTCTTAGATCAATCAGAAATGGGTGGCTCCCATCCGGAAGCAGGATGAGGAGGCAGGAAGGGACAGGAACTGGTTGAATGGACATAAGAAACCCCAGGTGGAAAGGAAGAGTGTGCTGTCACATTGTAAGGATTGCAACTAATGTCACATAACAATATGTGTATAAATTTTTGTATGAGAAATTAACTTGAGCTGTAAGCTCTCAGCTAAAATACAATTAAAAAATAAAAAATAAATAAATAAATAAAAAGGGCAATTTTTCTGAATGAAATAAAAAAACAGGTGTTTTCTAAATCTGAAAATACTACTAACGCTCAATAGCAATGATGCGTTTCAGTACAAACCAGTAAACACTACTGAAACAACCTACATTGTACCCAATCCTATTCTGGAATTTTAAAAAAGCTTCTGACGTCTGGAAATGACCACATTAATCTGATCTGTGGGAAGGAAAATATAACTTCAGGAAAGTTAAAGATTCCCAGTTCTCTATACAGAAAAATGCATAGCTAAACTGGTTCTATGATGATATAATTGTTTTTAATCTGTTTATATTCTATATAATCAGGGAAATGCAATGTACTCAACATGAAGAGTTAGAATAGCCTCAGCCGCCCAAATGACCACATGCTAATGTTTTCAATTTGTAACACTCAAAACTAGCAAGTTCTGGGTGATACATAAAACAACTTTAGTATTGTAAGACAGATAAGGCAGTCCTGCCTGCTCTCCAGACTTTCTAAGGATGCTGATAACCCACAAGGAGGATCCTAAAATCCACCAATTACTCAGTATGCCACTACTCTGACCTAACTATGTGGACCTCCTGGGAAAAACAAAAATAAAAATAACACAAAACATCTTCACACCAAAAAGCTTACAGTCCAAGGAATTAGTTCAATTATGGGAGCAGGGCATGGACTGTCACCTAAATGGATGACCCCCTTCAACACCATGTGTTTTATATACTGTGCTGTATGTCAGGCCATATAGCAAGGACACTGGATGGTCAAAACAATTCTGTTGCCTTTCCCTATGATTTGTTGTTGTGCTGTTGGGTGCTGTTGAGTCCATTCTGACTCATAGCGAGCCTATATGACAGAGTAGAGCTGCCCCATAGGGTTTCCTAGGCTATAATCTTTAGGGGAGCAGATCGCCAGGCCTTTTCTCCCATGGAGCCACTGGTGGGTTGGAACCACCAACCTTTCAATTAACAGCCTGGCACTTAACCATTGCACCACTAGGGTCCCTTCTCTATGAACAGAAAAGCATAAAAACAATAATTTATGCTGTAAATATCAGATTTTTCAGGATGATCCTTGAAACTTTATAGACACTAGGGGATCCCTAGATCCAAAGCAGTATCTGAAATTCTAATGAATTTCAATGAAAACTTATGAAGGAATCAATATTAAATACTATTAACCCACAATCACTTCCTTCAATATAAGTCCATATCAAGAGTAATTAAAAGTCATATAAGCTCAATCCACATCACAATCTAAAACATCAACACTTTTCAAAGGTAGCTACTGATTCAAAGAATTTATGAAAAACAAAAACTAAAATAACAACAAAAAAAACTTACCTTCTGAATATTCTCTAATTTCTTCTTTTCAACTTCAAATTGTTTCAACCAGCAATGTCTTTTTTCTTCTTCTTCTTGAAATTGCTTTTCTTCTCTATCCTTCTGAGCTATAAGAGTTTTTCTCTCTTGATCTTCTAGTTCTTTCTGTTTGTCTTGCCAAGCCTCAAAAGACTGCCTACATCTTTCTTCCACTTCACAGTATCCAAAATTGATATCAGTATCATCTGCATTCATGAGAGAAATACTATTCTCAAGATCAACTCTATCAAAACTGATGCAATTTAAAGTACAAAAATAATTTCAAAATAAAGAAATAATGACAACATATTCCAAAGTAAAAGTAATAATATACAAAAAGAAAATACAGAAAGGAGTATACAGGGAAGTTTCATTTCAGTCAGAGTACACAGAAGTTCAATTTCAGTCAATAAGGAAGTCACATAAAATAGCTTTAAAATATTTCAGAAGCAATTAATATAAAAATACATATGTGTGTATGTGTAGTTAAGGAATACTTAACAAATTCCAAGCACAGTGTATCTACTTACAGTCAGCTATATTGTTGTGTGCTGTTGGGTCAATTCCAACTCACAGTGACCCTATAGGACAGAATAGAACTGCCCCACAGGGTTTCATAGGCTGAGATCTTTACGGAAACAGATTGCCATATATTTCTCCCACAGAACGGCTGGTAGGTTTGAACCACTGACCTTTTGGTTAGCAGCTGAGTACTAAACTACTGTACCACCAAGACTCCTTGCAATTAGATACATACACAGGAAATTTTTAAAATAAGTATCAACCAAGTTAATTTATGAGGCATAAAGAAAAGTATAAAAACATAATTAAATAAGCATAACAAAGACATGATCATTTTCAAAACCTTGTAACTGTATTTTTCTAAATGTCAGGGGGAAAAAAACTAACTTCGTATTCAGATAAAACTAAGCCAAAACCAAACGCTTTGCCCTCAAATCAATTCCAAATCATGGCAACCCCATGTGTCACAGAGTAGAACTATTCCATAGGGTCTTCTTGCCTGTAATCTGTACAGAAATAGATCACCAGGCCTTTCTTCCACAGTGCCTCCGGGTGGGTTAGAACTACCAACCTTTAGGTCAGTAGATGAGCACAAGCTGTTTGCACCACCCAGGGACCTTTGTTTTAAGGTAACTATGGTTAGTCACATAAAAATTATCAAAAATATCATTAAGCAGTACACCTACCTGGGAAAACATGCTCATCCATAGGCAAATCACGAGGGTCAGGCTCTGGAGCAGAATCATGACTGGCACAATGAGTTTTACTTCTCAGAAATTCTTCCTTTTCTATTTCAGATAATATCTAAGAAATTAAAAGAATATCAATGATTAACGAAACCAAAAGAGAAAGTAAAGCTATTATTTTAATAATATAATTAAATATTTATACCCCTATACCTGCAATTGTATTTACTCCAAATCACTCTCAAACACAAATCTCTCTCAAATACACATTGATAACTACTTTCTTTATGGTGAACAGAAATGTTTTTCCCAAGCACGCACACTGTATTTTACCCCCCTTACGTTTTTCAGAACCCGAATTCATTTCTAATATTAATCCACAATATTTGGTTAAACTGCTTGACAATCGTTCCAAAATATTTCTACTAATGTGTTGTTTTCCTCCTACTATATTTCTGTCCTTCTTAGCTGTAGTAATAGTTTATGTATACAGATTGTCAATACTTGCAATATGTTAAAAGAGAACTATTCTCTACTTTAACCTCAACTATGCGTGCCATGATTTTGATCAATACTTCTCCGTAATTAGATTTCCACCATACTCTAGTTGGAAAGATACAGAATATCTATGCAATACAGCATCAGTACAATAATTCAAAATTAATATTTCAAATTTGAGTATTACCAAAAAAATAAGTAACAGACATATAAATAGTTTTTTCATTATGTTAAATGTCTTATGGAGCATAGAGTTTGAGTAAAATGAGAGAGTGTGGGATTACAAGGAATGCAAAAAGCTGAACCTGCAGAAGAGAATTTCTCTTAAATATATTTATGAAGGTTTTAACCTAGAAAAATACTGGGCTCTCCTTTACTCTTACTTTTTAAGGATCTTTTTTTCTTTTATCTGTTTTTTAAAACTAACATAACATGTTCTACATTTTAAGTTTCTGCTGAAACAGAGTACATTCCCAAGCCAGATATTAAATACTAAAATACATTCATTGCTTTCCTCAGAGTTTTTAAGGAAAAAAAAAAATGCAGTATAATTCTACTGTTTCATCTACACAGACTTCAAATTTCCAAGCATAGGTGATTCAGATCACTGTTTCTAATATTCTTAAAGATTGAAATTTGAGTGGCTTTATATTACATGCCAGATAAAAATATAAAACCAAAAATGATTTGCATAAAAAGTTACTCTTTAAATCAGTGAATTAACTATCATTAACCATCAAGAAGGAAAGATAGATTTCTAAATGTAATATTGAGCACATTCAGTTACAATTTTGAAAGCATACCTTCATTAATTGCTCAGGATTTTCTTGATATTCAGTTGCTAATTCTATCCTTAAATGCATATGATTATTAGAAACCGCTCCGTAACTATGGCCTAAAAAAAAGAAAAAATATTACAACTTCAAATATTGGAGTAGGGAACATGTTAAAATCCCAAACCCTTTCATCACCTTCTAATTTCTAATTTCTATCATAGTATATTCTTGATCAGTAAGAGTAACTCTCAAAACAACAGAAAAATAATGGCAAATAAAGAATAAATGGAGTAAACCTGTTATCTTTATTCTAAAAATAAAAGCAACACATTCCTAAAGCACTCTGACCCTTTATCATCTTTCATGTTCTATACTGAAGCTTATTTTCCATGAACACAGAATCACGATTTGCTTGATACTGCGATATCTTGATTAAAAATCAACAAAGGTTCAATGCTATCTGTCACAAACTAACACTATAATGTCGCACAAGGTATTAAAAAACCTAGCTGTATCTTTCTTCATGAAACTAATCTTCTCTAATTGTGTTTCCTTTTTTTTTCTAATTAGGGTTACAATTAAGCTATATAAATGCCAATATATTTATAACCTCTTTTCACTGTATAAATCTTAGTAAAAATAAATAATCAAAACAAACCATTAATCACCCTGACCCCTATAATACAACCATAAACAACCATTGTCAAAATTTGAAGTTTGTATAGAAAGTCTTTACTTGTCCATTTATCCAAGTGCTCAGGACCAAAATCTTTCTTCCTTTCATGCCAATCCATCAATAAATCCTTTTGGTTCTACCTTAAAAATGATTTCCAGAATATGACTAGTTTCCATCATTTACCCAAACCACCCTCACACTACTGCAATAGTCTGTCAGTGGACTCCCTGCTTTCACTCTTACTACCTCCTGCCATCTTCTACACAGTCATTAGAATATTATCTCAAAATATGTCACATACTCAAAATATTTCACATATTTTTAATAGAATCTTGTGCATCTCATGGTTTTTAAGAGCCCAATATGACCTTACCCCTTGTTTTCGTCGATACAGCCGAAAAAAACTTTTTTTGCTGTTCTTCAGCCACACCAAGCACACTCAAGTGTGCCTTGACCTTTACTGTTTTGGAAACTGGTTCTCCAGATATGCATCTGGCTCACCTTCTCCACAGAGAATCCTTCCCTGAAAACATTACCTAAAATAGCAACCTCCAGTCTCTATTCCTTTACCTTAAATTTTTTCCTTCATAGTACTTATCACTATTGAAACATTATATATTTATTCATTTATTTTTGTCTATCTCTTCCCCACTGGGACATCAGAACAGGAAAGTAGGACCTTTGCCTATTTTATTTACTACTATATTCTCAATGACTAGAACAAATCTTATCACATAGTAATACTTGTTAAATGATTATCTATGAATATATGCATTAAAATTTATATTATTATTTGCATGAACTATACTGTAAAATATGACATATTTTTATGAATATCTCTTAAAATCATTTAAGTATTTAAGTCATCTTTTTAATTGGGTGCATAGCTGGAAACACCAAGGTCCTACTGAGCATTTAGGTTGTTTCCATTTTTCATTATAAACCAAGCCATGATTTACGAATTCTAGCTAAATTTTCCCCAAGGGTCTGTCAGTTTGTTGTACTGTGGTGGCTTGTGAGTTGCTATCATGTGGGAAGTTATGCCACCAGTATTTCAATTACCAGCAGGGTAATCCATGGTGGACAGTTTTCAGAGGAGCTTCCATACTATGACAGACTAGGAAGAAGGAACTGTCAGTTTTCTTCTGATGAAATTGGCCAGTGAAAACCTTATGAATAGTAGCGGAACATTGTCTGGTGTAGTGCCAGAAAATGAGCCCCTCAAGATGGAAGGCACTAAAAATATGACTGGAGAAGAGCCACCTCATCAAAGTAGAGTTGACCTTAATGACATGGATAGAGTAAAGCTTTCAGGACCTTCATTTGCTGAGGTAGCACAACTCAAAATGAGAAGAAACAGCTGCAAACATCCATTAATACTAGGAATATGGAATGTATGAAGTATGAATCTAGGAAAATTGGAAGTTGCCAAAAATGAAACAGATCACGTAAAGATTGATATCCTAGGCATTAGTGAGCTGAAATGGACTGATATGGGCCATTTTCAATCGGAAAATCATAGGGTCTACTCTGCTGACAAATTGAAGAGGAATGGCATCACATTCATCATCAAAAAGAACATTTCAAGATCTATCATGAAGAACAACTCTGTCAATGATAGGATAATATCCACAGGCCTACAAGGAAGACCAGTTAATATGACTATTATTCAAATTTATGCACCAACAACTAATGCTAAAAATGAGGAAATTGAAGATTTTTACCAACTTGTACAATCTGAAGTTGACAGAATATCAATGAAGGTGCAATTGATAATTACTGGTGATTGGAATGTGAAAGCTGGACACAAAGAAGAAGGATTGGTACTTGGAAAATATGGCCTTGCTGATTAAAAAGATGCTGGAGATCACATTATAGAATTTTACAAGACCAATGACTTCTTCATTGCAAATACTTTTTTACCAATGTAAATGGCAACTATACACTTGGACTCACCAGATGGAAAAACACAGGAATTAAATCAACTATATCTGTGGAAAGACACGATGGAGAAGTTCAGTATCATCAGTCAGAACAAGGCCAGGGGCCGACTACGGGACAGACCATCAATTACTCATATGCAAGTTCAAGTTGAAGCTGAAGAAAATTAGAACAAGTCCATGAGAGCCAAAAGACAACCTTGAGTATATCCCACCTGAATTCAGAGACCATCTCAAGAATAGATTTGAGGTACTAAACACAATGACAGAAGACCAGACAAGTTGTGGAATGATATCAAGGACATCATACATGAAGAAAACAAAAGGTCATTAAAATGACAGGAAAAAAAAGAAAGACAAAAATGGATGTCAGAAGAGACTTTGAAACTTGCTTTTGAACTTCGAGTAGTTAAAGTGAAAGGAAGAAATGATGAAGTAAAAGAGCAGAACAAAGGATTTCAAAGGGTGGGTCAAGAAGACAATTTAAGGTATTATAATGCAATGTGCAATGACTTGGAGTTAGAAAACCAGAAGGAAAGAACATGCTCAGCATTTCTCAAGCTAAAAGAACTGAAGAAAACCTTCAAGCCTCAAGTTGCAATATTGAAAGATTGTATGGGAAAATACTGAACGGCACAAGAAGCATCAAAAGAAGATGGAAGGAATATAGAGTTACTGTACCAAAAAGAATTGGCTGACATTAAACCATTTCATGAGGTAGCATATGATCAAGAACTGATGGTATTGAAGGAAGAAGTCCAAGCTGCGCTGAAGGTAATGGAGAAAAATAAAGCTCCTGGTATTGACCAAATACCAACTGAGATGTTAAAACAAATGGAGACAATGCTGGAAGCCCTCCCTTGTCTATGCCAAGAAATTTGGAAGACAGCTACCTGGCCAGCCGATGAAGAGATCCGTATTTGTGTCCATTCCAAAGAATGGCGATCCAACAGAATGCAGAAATTATCAAACAATATCATTAATATCATACGCAAGTAAAATTATGCTGAAGATAATTCAAAAATGGTTGCGGCAGTACACCGAGAAGAAACTGCCAGAAATTCAAGCTGAATTCAGAAGAGGACGTGGAAAGGGAGAGATTGCTGATGTCAGATGGATCTTGGCTGAAAGCAGAGAATATCGGAAAGATATTTACCTGTGTTATACTGACTATGCAAAGGTATGAGACTGCCTGGATCATAACAAATTATGGATAATACCATCAAGAATGGGAATTCCAGAACACGTAATTGTGATTATGAGGAACGTGTCCATAGATCAAGAGGCAGTCGTTTGAACAGAACAAGGGGATACTTTGCGGTTTAAAATCAGGAAGGGTGTGCATCAGGGTTGTATCCTTTCATCATTATTCAATCTGTATGCTGAACGAATAATACAAGAAGCTGAACTATATGAAGAAGAATGCAGCACCGGGATTGGAGGAAGACTCATTAACAACCTGGGATAAGCAGATGACACAACCTTGCTTGCTCAAAGTGAATAGGACTTGAAGCACTCACTGCAGAAGATCAAAGATTACAGCTTTCAGTATGGATTGTACCTCAACAAAAAGAAAACAAAAATCTTCACAACTGGACCAATAAGCAATATGATAAAGTTGTCAAGAATTGCATTTTACTTGGATTCACAATCAATGACCATGGAAACAGCAATCAAGAAATCAAACAACATATTGCACTGGGCAAATCTGCTACAAAAGATCTCTTTAAAGTGTTAAAAAGCAAAGACGGCACTTTGAGGACTAAAGTGTGCCTGACCCGAGTTATGGTATTTTCAAATGCCTCATATGCATGTGAAAGCTGGACAATGAATAAGGAAGACCAGAGGAAAACTGACGCCTTTGAATTACTGTGTTGGCTAAGAATACTGAATATATCATGGACTGCCAGAAGAATGAACAAATCTGTCTTGGAAGAAGTACAGCCAGAATGCTCCTTAGAAGCAATGATGGCAAGACTTTGTCTCACGTACTTTCGACAAGTTATCAGGAGGGAGCAGTCCCTGGAGAAGGCCATCATGCTTGGTAAAGCAGAGGGTCAGCAAAAAAGAAGACCCTTAACTAAATGGATTGACAAAGTGGCTGCAACAATAGGCTCAAACCCAGCAATAATTGTGAGGATGGTGCAGGACTGGGCAGTGTTTCATTCTGTTGTACATAGTGTGGCTATGAGTTGGAACCTACTCAACAGCACCTAACAACAACAAAGCTAAACTTTTGATTATTCCAGTATTCTTAAGATAATTCCAAAAATTAAATTTACTCAGTTGAAGCAAATCAAAAATTTAAGGCATTTTATGAATATTACCATATTGTTTTCCATAAAGACGTATGTGGACATTATACATCTTTTTGGAGAACAATATAGTAATATTTATCTAAAATAGTCTGATGATTAGTTTTCTTTTCTTTACTGTAAAGTAATAGTAATAGAATTGTATAAAGTAATAGAATTGTTGTTAGGTGCCATTGAGTCAGTTCTCCTGGCCAAACCAAACCAAACGTGTTGCCATTGGGTTGAGTTTGACTCATAGTGACCCTGTAGGACAGAGTAGAATTGCCCCATAGAGTTTCCAAGGAGCACCTGGTGGATCTGAACTGCTAACCTTTTGGTTAGAAGCTGTAGCACTGAACTACTACGCCACCAGGGTTTCCGTTCTTCTGGCAGTCCATATATTCTTTGTCAAGACCATTTAATTCAAATGTATCAGTTCTTCTTCAGTCTTCCTCAGTCATTACAAAGAAATAGAATATCTGGTACTAACTACTACTCGTGAAACAAAGTGTTGGTGGCTAGTATTTATTGCAGACATCAGGAAGGTAGTAAGCCAAAAAATAAATGAACTATATCCAGTTGTCTAAAATACTATAGATAATATATTAGCCTTAAATGCATACACATATACATAGGTGGAGGCAAGAAATTTAAGTAATTTAGTTTTCTAAATTATAACGTATGTGTACCTACAGGAAAGTTACTTGCTAAGCAGGTGAAAATTGTACTTACTTAAAACATCAGTATCTTCCAAGTCCTGAAGAATGAGTTGTTCAGCAGTTTTACTCTTATTCTTTATGATATTAATACAGTGAAGAACTGACTCAGGTAATTCATCCAAATCCTAAAAATGTGAGTAGTGAAAGAAACTGTAAAGTTGTGTTATCACAATTACGTGTCAAATATTGCATCCTTAATTCCACCCAAAATTTTTGAAGTAAATGTGTAAATGAGATAAAAGAGCTCCATATAAAAAGCATAAAACCAAACAAAACCAAACCTGTTGCCATCAGTCTCTTCTGACTCATAGTGACCCTATAGGACAGAGTAGAACTGCCCCATAGGGTTCACAAGGAGCAGCTGGTGGATTCGAACTGTTGACATTTTTATTAGCAGCTGAGCGCTTAACCACTGCGCTAACAGGGCTCCATAAAAAGCATCATTTAGATAAACACATTTGGTTAAAATTTGCTTTTCATTTTCAGGTGATTATGCTTTTTTTCCTGGAAAACTGTAAGGAAACAAGAGAAAGAATTCTAGCTACATCATTTTCATTAACTTTATTAGAGGCTACTTGTTTTTAAATGAAATCAATAGTTTTATATGTTTTTAATTCAATTCCAACTTCAAATAAATATTATCAAATAGTAATCAAACCTGCAAGTTTTTCCCAAAAATTTCAGGTCTGATTAATACCTTACAAAAGCTTTTAATACATTCCAATACTTACTATTTGATTATCAAACACAAATTTAGTTACATTTATGAGCCATTATAGAATGTTTCCAAATACAGCCTTTGAAAATAAATTTAGAAATTTTCTAAATATATTGATAGACAAAATGTGATGATAAAACTACTTCCATCAGATACACTATAAGCAGATAGAAAACATAACACAAAAAGAAATATTTCATAAAAACTAAAAAACATCTGAAGCATCTAGGAATGATTTTAATAATAATCCTGAACCTACAGACGTATAAAACTACAAAACTTAATTAAGGGGCCTAAAATATGACTTGAATCAATAGAAATGCTTCTGATATGGAAGAACATTATATGACCTTGATTCCATCTGACTAAAAAAAAATCTGCTGGATTTACATGTATTAAATCTAAGCTTCTTAGTCAGTTGTTTGCTTCCTTGTTTGTTTTCCTCTATGCTAACTAACAGACTTCAGTGCTTAGTTTTGAGAATGCTGCTAGTGAAAATAAAGAGAAAATAGTCCCTTTTCCCTCAGAGCTACACAAAAGCAAATAAGATTCTACGTCAAAAAGTAATTCAGATAAAGTTGTTAGCTGTGCCAAGTGGATTCCAACTCATGGTGACCTGATGTGTGTAGAGCGGAACTGCTCCACAGGGTTTTTAAGGCTGTGACCTTTCGGAAGTAGATTGCCAGGCCTATCTTCTCAGGTGCCTTTGCGTGTGTTCCAACTGCCAAACTTCTGGCTAGCAGTCAAGCGCTTAACTGTTTGCACCACCCAGGGACTCCTCAGATAAAGTAGTGTATTGATAAAGTAGTTTACTGACGATATCCAGAAAAATATCTACTCTTCTACCCTGTGTAGAGACTTCCATTTGTTGTTTAATTAAGAACTCTTTAAAGACACCCAGATTGTAGAGACTATTGTTATATCTATAATCTCTAAATTTTTAATTTTTTAGATTAGTTTTCCTAGTTAATAATTTCTTCCCCTGGTAATAATACTTAAATTGGTTTTCTGAATGATACAAAAACTTGTGAAGTATCCTAATTAAACCAGAAGAAGAGTTTTAAAATTGTATTCTTCTTCCTTTATTTATAGACATTTAACAAAATATAATAAAATCCATAGTTGCTAGATTTCATAATCAAAGAATTTACGAATTTTCTCTCCTTTAAATGAATCTTAAATAAAAACAAAGAATAATGAAAAACATTAATTTTTCCCAATGTAATACGTAGTTTCAGTACAATCCTAATTAAAAACCAAACTGAAATTACTTTTTGATCTCTACAAAGTGAGTTTTTTGGGGGAAAAGTTTGGTTGAGAAGATTTTGAGACAGCAAAAAATTGAAGGAATTTGACCCATTTGATATTTTTAAAAATAAAACTACAATAAGAAAAAGATTAACAGAATAATGGAAAAGTATAGATAGCCTCAGATATATCATATGTATAAGAACTTAACATATACAAAAGTCATAAGAAATTAATTGAGAAGAGGTGGATTATTCAACAAGCGGCACTGGAAACATTAGATAAATATACGCCAGAAAAATTCAAATTTTATCTATACTGTATAATGAAACTGAAAATAAATTCCCATTGGATTAAGAATTTTAGTGTAAAAGAATGAATCCATGAAAGGATATTCTAAGCATATACAATTGGGGAAAATACACACAAAAAAGGATAATATGTTTGATTTCAGAAAAATAAATTATTTCTACATGCCCAAAGATTTAATATAATAAGTTAAAAAAAAATTAAAAGGGGAAGTATTTGTACAGTACTCTTGTTTACCAAAGAGCTTCTAAAAATAAATAATAAACATATCAATAATAAAATATAAAAATGCATAAAGAATTTGAACAAACATATCACAGAAGGAGAAATACAAAGGTCAATAAGCTTATTTAAAATATTAGACTAACAAAAGACAAAATAAGAAATGAAATTCCATTTTTAGTTTTTAAATTGGAAAAGATTAAAAATTATAATCATCTATGCAGGTCTGAACATGACGAGAAAGGTAATTTCACATTCTACTTGTGGAAGTGTAAAATGGCAAAATTCTCTGGGAAGCACCTTGGCATTTAACAATAGCCTGTAAAAAATTCTACATTTTGAACCACTATTCACAAAAATAACCCTATTCTTCTTGTCCAGTGTAGAGACTTCTATTTTTTTGTTTAATTAAGAAATATTTTATAGCACCTGAACTGCAGATATTATTGCTAAGAATATATCCTAGCAGAATATCAGAGACATGGACAAGGATATTTATTATATTACTGTTTAAACTATGAAAAGCTGGAAACAACTTAAATGTCCAAAAATAGATAAATAGTTCAATCAATGATATTGGGATATTATGTATCAATTAAAATTTTTAATTTTGCTTTTCATGTATGTCTAATCACATTAAAACGCTCAAGTATAAGAAAAAAAGGATACAACATAATTCAAATTTTATTTAAAATGTGCATATATTAATGTAGAATTTTATAGGTGATTTTCTACTTTCAATATACTTTTTATATTTATATACCGATATACATTGTTTAAAGATGATTCTAAGGTAAAAAAAAAAATGAGATGAAATATACAAAACACACTGAGAAAAGTAATATTTTTCTGAAAAGTCTATTCCAGTAAAAAGACTCAAAAATCCAACACTTAACACTTACTGTATCACTGTTATCACTCTGGGTTTCTGATTTTGAATCACTATCAACATCATCTTTTTCCAAGGAGGAAATGGTGATTGTATCCAGTTCAGCTTCTATTTCTTCTTTGAGCTTTGCATCATCGTCATCGTTGTTTTCCATCCTTCTTCATAATAAAACACAAAACCATTTAAAGAAAAACGAAGAAGCTATTACACAGGTACAAACTATGTTAATTTGGCATACCAATCCAACACGTTCCAGGTAAAAATGTTGCAGTTCAATAAAATTTTGTCACACCTTATTATTAAGGTTGTATCATATATTAAAAATATGATTTTATCTGTCTCTTCATTCATTCTTTTTTTTTTTTTTTCCTCTAGATTTGGTTATAAAAAAGCAATAGGAAAGATCCTTTTAGTTTTGGAACTGTTCAGTATCTTTACTGTGGGGTGGATACACAAACCTTAATCAGTTATAAAAACTGTACAGAATTTAACACACACAGGAGTAGAAATAAAACTGAGGAAACTGGAATAGGATCAGCAGATTGTATCAATGTCAATATCCTGGTTGTGATTTTATACTATAGTTTTGCAGTATGACACCACTGGGGACATTTTACAAAGTGTACAAGGGCTCTTTATTACTTCTTAAAACTGCAGGTCAATCTACAATAATCTCAACAAAAATTTTGATGTAAAAATGTCCTAAACACTGGTTGATAGGACACTAAGAGAACAGTTAGATAAATTATGATTATCCAGAGAATGGAATACTGTACAAATACTTTCATAAAAAACGGGTAACTTTACTGTAGAAATACAGACAAAAAGTATGAATTACTGAAAACGTGGCAGAGTAGTATGTAGAGTAAAATCTCTTTTATATAACTACAAATACATACACACGTTTTTTAGACAGATAGTTTCTGGAAGAAATCATAGTTTTTACATTTCATTTCAGACCTTTATATTGAGTGATATTTTTACCATGAATAGGTACTTTTCATAATTTTAAACTAGTTAAAAATATTAAATTTTATCCACAACCTCTCAGCTCTAAAAGAAAAAAAAGTGCAAAATATTATCTTGTAATCAAACTCACAAAATACAATTCAAAGTTTGTAGGTGGAAAATTAATTTTTTTGACGTGGCTATAAAGCAGAATGCATGCTACACAAAACATCAAGTAGAAAGAGAGGCAAGAGAGTAGGATGAAAAGAGTAATTTCCATCACCCGCCTTTCTCTCCTTACCTACTGGCTCCTTAGATCAGGCCTGTCCGACAGAAACCTAACATGTAATTTTAAATATTCTAGTAGCCACATTTTAAGACGTAAAAAGATATAGGTGAAATTTATGTTAATTTTAATAACATTTTATTCAACCCAATTTATCTAAAATTGTATTCTTTCAACTTGTAATTCATATAAAAAACTAACTATTAATTATAAAAATCAATGTAAAAGGTTACATTCTTCTTTTTCCATACTAATTCTTTGAGATCTAGTATGTATTTTACCCCTACAGTACATCTCAATTCAAATTATCTGCATTTCAAGTTTTCAATAACATCTGCAGCTAGGGGCGAATGTTTAGGGCAATGCAGCCCTAGATGGATTCCAGTGTAATTGGGCTATAGTAAACTACTTCAAGTTGACAATAACTCACCTGGAGTTGGGTAAAGCTGCCAAAAGTGGAAAATATTAAGGCATTCCACCTTTCAACTCCTGCGATAAAAGGGAAGGGAAATCTAATTTTAATAGTAGCCATAAATTATATATCAAAAAAAGGAAGAAGGGAGGAAGAAAGGAAAAGAACGGCCACATACGGGGAAAAAAGTAACCACTAAAAATCCCTAGATTGTCAAGGTGAATTGTGAAGTTTTGAGTAAGCTGTCAAAACCTTAAGAATTGAAGGAAGCCTCAAGCTCCGCAGACTCGCGCAGCCACTCCCTTAGCCCAGCCTGGCCCGCGGCCCGCGCTTTCCCGGTTGCCTGGAAGCCTCACCCTGACGGAGAGGGGCCCGATCGGTCTGCGCTCCCGTAGCTCTGCCGCGCCTCCCGAAACCCGAACCCGGGCTTGGAAAGGCCCCGGCTCACCTACCAACAGCGGTGTCCCTCCGTTAGGCTTAAAGGCAGCTCCCATTGCCTCCCAAACAAAGCGTAACCACGGCAACAGCCAATCCCAAGGAAGCTAGATGGACCTTGCCTTACAGGTGCCCAAGAGGGACAAATAATTTCCATTCTAAATTGGAAAGATTGCTGCATCTCAAGAGTTGGGTAAGGAGTTTAAGAATTTTTCCAGGTATTTAAATATTTCGGAAGGTACTTAATAAAGAAATGGCGTTTTGTTGTAATTACTCAAGAAAAGATAGCCTGACCTTTAAATTAAGCTATCTATAGTTTTGTTTGCATCTAGAGAATGTTGAGTTGTACATGTATGAATTGTTCATTCCACAGAACCATAATGGTGAGTAGTGGTTTGTGGGGTCTGGAAGTGATGGAACAGAAGTCAATAAACACAGAAGTCAATAAACTGTTTGCCTTCCATGACAACAGTCTCTTTGAAAAGAAAAAAACTCAATCAATTTTCAATGCCTGTCAAAAACCTGTCAGTGGAGTTTGGGTGGTCGTGTGAGAAATTTGAAAAAAAAATTCTGGAATATATTTTACTCCAAAAATATTGATGATGGCACACTCACTATTTTAATATGTAAACTGAACTTCTGAGTATATGTCATGCTACTAATTTTAACTTAAAAAATCATAAAAGTTTATTTTTTCATGGAGCAATAGATAGTGTACAAAATGTGAAATTTCATTTTAGTTAATAACAGATATTTCTGATTTTAATTTTTTTAAAGTTTGCAAACAGGCATTAATTTTCAAGAGGAAGTAGTTATGCATAATTGTTGAAGGTATCTGCCATACAATAAGCTAAAAGCAAACATTTCATTGAGTCTCTGAAAGAAAATAGACTGTATTTCCTGGTAGCAACAAACTTGCAGTTCTTGATAACAACAAACTAATAACATAGAGTCAGAAATTATAGACTTTTGCTATTAAAAACAAACAAAACATGTTTTAGTTCGTCTTTCAAAGGGGTAGTAATTTTAGAAAATAAATTACCCCTGATTTCAGAACTGTTTAAATTTAGGGTTTTTCATTATGCTATTTTTGTAGACTGATTTATAGATTATAAATTATGCTGATTTTTAGACTATTCAAACTCCTTATTTAAAATGCTAAGGCTGCAATATTATGTTGAGGTTCACAAGTAAAATCTTAAGTTAAATTTTTTTTGTGATCATTAAACTTCAGGCTTTTTCTAAAGATTATCAAATCCTTTAGTAATCAACTAATTTTGAAAACTGTGTCTATATTATTTTGCTTTGTTTTCCTTCTTAAAACTCACAGTGTCAAACAAAGTACAACAAAAAAGAAAAATATTGAAAATTCTTCTAAAGATAAATTAATCCATGGTGAGTGTTGCTATATCTCTTATTTTCTCATGTTATATTTTAACTGTGGAAGAAAAATTACAACTCTATAAATTAATAATACTTGAACTAGACTATTACTAATTAGTAAGGAAAAAAATGTAGCAACCTAAAATAGTAATAGATTATAAGTAAGTTTAACCTGAAACTATTGTTTTTTAACTAATGTGTAGTGTTTAGCAGAAATCCATTTAATTGTAATCTTTCCTAGAAATTGTAATCTCAAATTGAATATAACCATGCCCTTTTTTTGATGTCATTAAATTTTATAATTTTTTTTATTGTGCTTCAAATGAAAGTTTACAGTTCAAGTTAGTGTCTCATACAAAAATTTATACATACACTGCTATGTTACCCTAGTTGCTGTCCCCATACTGTGACAGCACACTCCTCCTTTCCATGCTGTATTTCCCATGTCCACTCAACTAGCTTCTGTCCCTCTCTGCCTTCTCATCTCACCTCTAACAGGAGCTGCCCATTTAGACTCGTGTATTGAGCTAAGAAGTACAGTCTTCATGAGTATCATTTTCTGTTTTATAGTCCAGTCTAATCTTTGTCTGAAGAGTTGTCTTCGGGAATGGTTTTAGTTTTGAGCTAACAGAGAGTCCAGAGGTCATGTCTTCCAGGGTCCCTCCAGTCTCAGTCAGACCATTAAGTCTTCTCTTTTTACTAGAGTTTGAGTTCTGCACCCCACCTTTCTCCTGCTCCATCAGGGACTCTCTGTTGTGTTTCCTTCAGGGCGGTCATTGGTGGTTGCAGGGATTTATGCTATTTAAACATGGCTGCACTATTGACAACTGCAGCTCCCACAGGCCTCCATGCTGCACAGCATGTTGAGACTTGTCCCCAACATGTTGAGACTTGTCATGACTTGTTTTCCCAAACTTATTGTCCAGTTACTGATTGGCTTGTTTACCTGAATTCCTTCTCCCTTGCCCGAAACTTACTGTTACTCACCCAAAGCCCATTCTTCTGTTATTTGCTTCACTGCTTGCTGTAGTGACTATAAATAAACTCCTGGGACTGGAGCTAAGGGTCGACTCCTCAGAGTGACCCTCCTGGCCCCACTTCTCTGTAAGAGTTGTGTTTGGTTACTGTCTCCGCCGCTGCGACAGGTGGTAGCCAGGCACCATCCAGTTCTTCTGGTCTCAGGCTGATGAAGTCTCTGGTTTATGTGGCCCTTTTCTCTCTTGGGCTCATATTTTCCCTGTGTCTTTACTGTTCTTCATTCTCCTTTGCTCCAGGTGGGTTGGGACCAATTGATGCATCTTAGATGGCTGCTTGCTAGCTTTTAAGACCTAGATGCCACTCATCAAAGTGGGATGCAGAACCTTTTCTTAATAAATTTTGTTATGCCAATTACCTATGCCCTTTTAACCTCAGTAGTTTTCTTTTTTAAATAAGTTACTTTGTTTCCATTTAAATATTCCTCTTATTTTGAAAATCATTTGCAGTTCTGGTTAGTTTATAGCCTATTGGCTTAATACAACATCTCTCTCTTAAAGAATACATAATAAATGTTTACTGAGGCAATGATGAGATGAGAAAGAACTGTTTGTTCCTCAAATATCTGACAAGAATAACATTTCTTTGAAAAATGTTGTTAATTGAATTATGGAACCATTTTAGTTTAATAACATTTTCCAGCAACTGTTTTATT